TCCTTATCGTGGTGGAGATTATGCTGATGATGTTGTATCTTTTATATTATGTGTTAGATTTAGAATTTTTTTTTTGCCATTTTATTATGTTTGATACCAATGTTCCCTTTACTCTCGAAATATGTATTGATACAACGTGGCTAGATTATTAATTTCAATCATAATAATAATAATATTTATTGGCCAAGAAGTTACGATTTTTAGTTAGTAAATTGTAAATAGAAATAACATATTTAAATGGCCCACCTCACTTCTAAAGATAATCTCTTGTCAGCGATGATGGAGTGGGTACTATAAAAAGATAAGTATACATTAATAAGTTGTAAAATATTTTTGATATTTCCTTAAAAATTGCGAAATATTTGACTATAATTCAAGAACATAAATAGACATACCTAGTGGTAATTATTAATTAATAAAATAATAATAAAAACATTAAAAACAATAAATTAATATGTATATATATAAAAAAAATGGAATAAATAAATAAATAGACTACATTATATACACCGGTACATTACATAGGCAGAAGGTTTAATGAGATATTTTTATGTTTTTCATACACAAGTGTTAATATGGTATAATAAGTTAATAATTATGATTGCAATAAACAATCACAGAAGTACAAAGAAAAAAAATAATACCTACAATGTTGAATGTACCATTTAAAATAAAATGTAACATAAACAATAACGTAGTATATCGATGTTTAACAATCAATTTTGAATTGAAATACATATACCGATCGATTATTTCGAAATTAAAATATTATTATAGCTAAATACGTTATAAAAACGGTATAAAATATAGCTACAGAAGTAGGTAATTCCACCGTAATTTATCCTCTTACTTAAACACATATATCTACATTTTTTCTACCTACATTATATATCAAAACATATATAACACTGCTGCATATTTATTAGGTAAAATATTTAATCATCTGATTATAATTTATATCATATAATCGTTTATCAGCCCTAATTAGTCTAACTTTATGAAAACCCTGTATATAGTTACACATCTGACCTAGAAAATAAAGTTAGGAAAAATTTGTTTCGGGAAAATAATAATATGTTTAATACTATTAATTACTTTTAACTACTTATTTTGTCGCAAATTGCATAAGATTATAGCTGGGTACCAATAATAGGAAAACAAAAATAATAGATGTATAAGATAATCTTACAGTAAGAAACTTTTATTATAAAAGGCATTTACTTTCATATCGTTGAACAAAATTTAATATCAAATTGGTTATGGAAATATAGATGGTTCAAAGTATTCACAGTAAATTAGGCGAATAAAATTCGTCGAGTGTACAACTGCACTATACCCTCCAGGCAACGTTTTCACTATAAAATAATTATATATAGGTATATGTAAGTATAAGGCGTTTCATTGAACACGTATTATTTTCTTACGAATTCTTATACGTTTAAACTTCAAAACAATATGTAGAAGGAAACAGATGTCCGTTGATATTTGCCGACAAAAAGTAGTCAACCCTAGAAAGGATAAGAGAAAAAATAAAAAAAGGATGGAGAATAGGAAATCAATCGTTTGAAAAGAATATTATGAAAAGAAAATTCTAGGTATAGGTGGAAAAAAAATAATGAGCGTTCTATCGACGTCATAGTGGCATACGGGTAAAATGAAGAAAATGGTAACATTTTTCCATCGTGAAAAATCAGTAGGTATTATTTTCTAGCGAAAACAAGTTACATATTTCGGTCGAGGAATCGCTATCGAAACTATTGAATGAGATCAATTGCAAACCGAAAAAGATAATGTGCCCGAAAATAAATTACCTCATATCTGAAAAGAGACTATTCGATTTGAATGCTGTTGACATGAAATATTTTTTGAACAGAATGTAACAGAAAGATATGACAAATTAAATAGCTTGTGTTTTATTCAATATTTTTATTTATTTTTTCTTCATATAATTAACTCCTAAGTTGGTATTGCACGCGTATTAATTACGTATTATATTTAATATTATCTATTAATTATGTGAAAAAAAAAATATTGATTAGAATAACACGAATTATTTCATTTGTCATATCTTTCTGTTATACCCTGTGTGCATTAAATATTTTGTACTCATTACATAGACCTCAGATATATTTATTTTATTTAATATTATATTTAAATATTCATTTTAGTCTAATAAAATAATTAATTTTTTTTATAAATTACAGAAAAATTACAATTTGTGTTGGAATACACAATAAGCAATTAGAAAATGTTATAATTAATATACATTTTAATTGTGAAATAAGATGGATGAGGATCAACCAGTGTGGAACCTAACGTGATATTATATAATACACTTTTTACCATTAAATTTAGTAATTATTTTTAACTTATTCTCACAACCGGATAAAAACTGTTCAATGACATCAAATATGATATTTTTTCATTTGAAAAAAATATTAACATACGAATTCAGTCTAAAAATTCAATATTTCAATTTTACACAAAATGAATAAAACTAGGTTTGATCAGTAAAATGTAATGTTTATAATACAATATATTACTTGTTGAATAACCTGACTTTGCCCAGAAAAAAAATGAACAGTTTTTATAAAATGTATGATATAATACAGATATATCTCGTTCTTAGTGTACCTACTCAGTTCTTAGGGTATCTCGCTTTTTGAACTAATTAGATAGATAATGGAAATTCTGCTTGTGGTGAATTGGATAAACCACTTGGTATATGCTTTAACGTGGTTAAGTCTTGCCACCCTATAGCCATCTATATAGATTGAAATCCAAAGTTATAAACATTTAACACCAATCTGCAAATTTCAAAGAATATGTGTGCAAAAGTTGGTGCCAATTTTATTAGTGCAGTGGTTTCTAATGTAGTGGGGTTACTGCTGACTGCAGAGTACTAACAATCGCAAAATCGTTTTTTATATAATTTATAATATTGTAATGTAATAATACAATAAGATGAATAAGATTTTCATATAATGATAATAATTAATAATATAATCTAATGATAACATTAATAAAAACATAATAATCATTATACTATTGTAGCTTGCACGCGATACCCATGCTGTTTAGGTAAATAATCTCGGAGTAGATGACAATATATGGCATGCAAATCAGAAGTGATATTTTTTTTCACTCGACTATAGGATGCAGGCACAGCGCACTGTTTCATATTATTATTATTATTATAATATATGCACTGGACGAGGAGATAAATAAATTATAACAACTATTGTTGGTCATTTAAAGTAGGTATATAATATAATAGACTTTCGAATGGTATGGAAACATTATATACTCGATGTGGTCACCGAGACGAAAGATAATACAAATAGCATGCAACAATATATAACATAAAATAATGGACATCGTATAATAAGTGCATTACGCTATCACGAAGTTCGTCGTAAAACATCGTATAAAGACAAAATAAGTGAGCGAAAGAAAAAAAACAGCGGTAGGCGGCGAGGTGAGCGTACGCGCTGGCGCGCTCGCGTGCGTGCGCGGCGGGGAGTGCGCGCACCCCCGGCGACCGGTGTTGGGGGGAATTCCGGACGGGCAGTGCGGGGGTGGTGGCAACGGGGAGAGTCTGGGCGGGGGAAAAGGAGGCGCCCCGAAACTCGGGTACTGGGTGAAAACTCGCCCACGGGAACCGCCGCGGATATGTGGGTCACCCGGCGCGAGACGGTCCGCGGCGCCGCGGGTGCACGTGGGCCAGCCGGGCGGAGCGTGAGCGCGCCAAGGCGCCCGCGCTCGCCGTCCCCGGGGTTACGCCCATCGCGCTCGCCTCGACGGCGGCGCGTCGGTCCGGTGACCGCGTCAGTAACCGCCGGCACGCTGTTTGGACGGCACGCGGCCTGCGCCTACACGAGACACCTTGTCACGACACAGCCGACGGCCAAACTCTCGCGTTCGGAGCCGCACAGACTCGCAAAAATATAATAAAAACATTATTGTTTGTGTAGCAATAGAGTTGGAACCGGACCGATCAGGTGAGATCTGCGTACGTTTATATAATATATATTTCATTGTTGATTTTTATTTATTGCGTGACGATTTTCACAAAATAGACACGTTGTGGGAATATTTGACCTACGCCTTTTTTCAGTACCTCGTATATTTGATTTTTAATTATTCTGGTTAATAGACCTACGTCTAAAAATTCTTAAGTTTCGCAAATACCCGTGCACACGACCATTATTTTTCTGAATCGTTCGACAATATTTTGTACAACAATATTTAATTATTATTGTCAAATATTTATTTAATAACGTACCTATATAATATAGTTGGACAAATTTATGAAACAATTTTTCCAAAAAAAAAAAAATTCAAATTGATGTTGTTGGGTTTAATTCAACGTTTCGCGGTACCAGTATAACTAACAATTTTAACATTTATTTTCGAATCAGATACTAAATAGTAAATAGTAGCAACTGAAATGTAAATTATTATTAATGGCCTTTGACATAAGAGTGACGAAAGTGTCTACTAAGTTTATTTATTACATTTCTTTAATCCTTTATCTACCTATATTATAGTTCATCTTGACCATGTATAATCTGTATCGTAATACTCTCGTGCTTCGAATTTATTGTACATTTTGCACTATCAATTCGACAAATTTGTTCTACGCGAGTTGGACATTTTAGTATCGTATCGTTCTGCAGTTGTCTGATGTCGGTGGAAAATTTTATATTTCGTATTATTTTGTGTTTAATGGTAAAAATATTTTTTTTTGAAAACTTTTAGACGTGGAATGTTTCAATTGTACAAATTATATTTTTTTAGTTTTACACTAAGTATCGTATAACATCGAGAATTAGATGTTTGGGGACTAAATGTGTGAATTTCACTGGCATAACATTTAAAATTTAAATATGACCAAACATACTTAATTTTTTCACACTCGTCATATTCACTCATAAATGTCAAACTTATACATATTATATTATGCAAACATTAAGGTATTAAAATAAATATAAAGACCGTGAAGTTTAGTTGGATTTATTTTATGTGTTAGGAAGTACAAATTAAAAATTGAAAATAAATAAAATGGCTTGATGTAATTGTGTCTAGAACAGACTACTATAGTATTTTTGTATTACCTATAGTTAAGTCGCTATATTGTAGGATATAACAACATTTTATAAATGGAAATATTTGAGATTTTCAATCAACATAATAACATAATATTATACTAATATATTTATATAAACTAAATGTCTAAAATCTAAATTTACTTATTACCTAACGTACAAATCCGTATTGTTTTGAATGAAACTATAAATGAACAAAAATACTGTTCACCGTTTTCCGCACCACCGTTTCTCTGAAACATTCAAATAGAGACTTTAAAAAATAAAATAATATATAATTAGACAAGTGGAAACAGATCAACAAAATTTTAGAAACAAAACACAAAGTAATTCAATGGTTGTAATAATATTTAAACCAACAGTTCACCATAATATACACTGGTGAATCTGTATAAGTGTTCTATGAACCTAGTTATACTTAATACAGTTTATTCTGCATATTACAGAAGTGGCCAATTATCACTTAGTAACAACTTACCAAGTAAAAATATAAATACTATATTTTATAAAATATAAAATTAAAACAATTGTATGATAATATAGTTCAAATCAAGACAAAATATTATTTTGTCTGTTTAAAACTTAGAAAATCATGAAAAAATTCTTCAGAGGGGTCTTGTTTCTGATGTACTTCACTTAAACGTGATGTTTATACTTTCCGAAATGTCCTAGGCAAGACTACAATCAAATTAAAAAAAAATAACCAATTATTGCATTATCAAGAATTCTTATTATATTTACCCAATCCACGAAAGTTCAAACAATTTTCTATTGTTATATATATCAGAATATTATATATAATTTGATTATTACCTACTATTTACGAATAAAAATAACCCAACTATATTGCTTTAAAAAAATTCTAGTTTTCAGTTCATGTTTCGAGGAACTTAATATAGTTATAGTATACGGGCTATTTATTTTAAAATATTTTATAGAATACTTGTTAAAACAATTTATTTTAAGAACATTTTGTATTTTCATTTTTAACATAATGTCAGATGATCAAACAAGAAATTGTATTTTTAAATTGTCTTAATATTGTTCATAGCAAGTATAAATTATAATATAACAACTAAATTAAATAATGAATATTAAATAACTATCGACATTTGTTATAAACTGTACCTATATTTATCTAAAATTAACTGTATTAGGTACCCGACTTCGACCGCGGGGAAAAATGAGCAATTATAAAATACGACAATCTGTGTGTAATGAAGGTACCATCTAGAGCATTTTGAACAAACACGGTCAATTGAATACTATACTTGATATATTTTGATTTAAGAAGGTACATACTTGTTTTTTTTTAAACTTTACACTCAGTACACAATGTTGTGGCGGTAAAATATAATATATAAAATAAACGTAGTCTAAACTTTTTACGCCCTCTGCTTCATAGTCATGTATGGATCGACATATTATTTAGAATACAATTACTTTGTAAATAATTTCGTCATAAAATAATAATATTACCAATAAACTGCAACAACGTATGTCTTAAACATAATGTTATATTGAAAAATAAAAAATAAACAGACATACACAGAGTAATAAAATTGGCCTCTTGTCGACTACATATTACTATATTATTGCATGCAGAGAGTTTTCAATCTAAACGTTTCCGACCACAGGAATCGTCGGTTTGGATTTTTGCACCATTTTTTTTTCATTCGCCAAAGACGCCTAAACTTTTCCCCGTATAATACTGTGGCTTAATCAGCACCTGGTGCAACGTTACAGCAGAAGCCGAGGGGATAGGATTTTGCCTGATGTTGATAGGGAAAAGGGCAAACCGTGTCAACAAATTACCGTCACGTTAAAATCGGTTAGGAAAAAAAATTCTTCACCCTGCTACAACAAAATGTATATACATGCTATTGGAGGGGTTGCCAGTAGCGAGGGCAAGTTAGAAACATCACTTCCGGATACCTTGCGAGGTTTACTGATAATAGTAATAAATATGCTCTGGTTTTTATTTTTTTTTTAAATCCATTCTCTTTTGTGAAAAAACAATCGTCAAGGCTCGGGGACCTAATGAATATTGGCAGCCGATGTCTAATAGTGACCGATTTTCAGCTTCAAAAGTCCGAGCAAAAAATATCCTTTTATCCTTTAAAGGGTACCTATGTAATATATTATGGCTGAAAAAAGTGATCTGCCCATTCCGTCTCCTAACTCTGCGAACCGTAAATTCCGGAAAAAGGATGTATAAATCCCATGTTGTTTTATGTGAACGTCGTTTTCCCGTGATTAGTAGTATCCGTGCTGCAGGATTTAGTCGTTATATTTTTAAGAACGCTTCATAAATCAAGATTAATCGTTCTAAACGGTTTAATGCGTTGTTCAATATCCTGGGACTGTTTACCACGTGACTCTGACCGCGTCATGATGCTTGTTTACGACGTGAAAATGTTCACGACTCCAATTATTGAAAAATTGCATTAAAACGTTATGGCAGTTTATCGAATGACTTTTAGTTGGTTACTATATGATAATAATTAAAAAGTTAATCTCAAGACTGTTTGTTTCGAAATTAAATCGCCAGTTAGTTTCGACAATTACTATTTATACGAGTGACGCAGTTATATTATAATGGCGTGAAGAGTTGATAAAGCTGTAAAAAAAAAGGGGCCATTCGAAAAGTAGACAGCAATAATATCACATTGATATTGTCACTCGCATTAAATTAACGATTATACTAACGTCATATAATTATATAACATATTATAGTTCATTCTCATTCCGCGTTGTTCGATAATAATAATTATATTAAGACGCAAAATGTTTAATTACCTACTACGCACTAAAATTAATCGATTTGTGAAATGTAAATGATACACACGGGCATTCATTATACATTTGAAAGTCCTTCTACGCGTAAAAAATGGTATAGATACTTTTAGATAATTGAGTGGCGTTTTTATTTAAAAAACTTTTTCGCGCATTTTTATTTTAAACACAAAAACGCATATCTGCAACATATTTTTAAAAAACTGAAATTACCACGTCACTTTACAACTCGTGATTTGTGAAATTATTGTTTTTGACAGGTTGACATTATGTATTTATCAACCAAAAAAATTAAATCATCTATAGTATTTAAATTGGACATACTATTATTAATATTATTTTTTGTTATTGAACTACTGTTCTGTTATACGAATAAACCTATCATTATTTTTTTACGTGAATAACATGCATTTAGTCACTGCTATGCGTGCGTGTATATATTGTATGTCTAAACATCACTTACTAGTCTGTGATTACAATTTTTTCTTACAGTTTATACAATATACATTTTTCGTATATCAAATCGAACGATTTTCTTTTGAACTTGTTTAAATAAAACAAGAGGAAAAACGCATAAAATAATATTCACATTATGATTTAAACATTGAACGTCATTTTTTTCAAAACTACTACCTCTCTTTGATGTAAATAATATAAGTAAACTTATACAAATGTAAACAAAATGTAATGAACCTCGTCAATAAAGAATTATAAAAAATATCAACGAGGAAAGATGAAATACTCCACAAACCAAAATATCAAATATGTAGGAAATAATAGCAAAAATGTTATAAAATGTAGGTATTAGGCATTGATGTACAATGTACTACAGAATTCAGTTGCTATTAATTGCCGAAATCGACATGAAAACTATATAATACAAGAACGGCCACTAATGAGATATGCGTACGGGAGGTGTGCTACATGAGGAACTCCCCCCTTAGATACCTTTCTTGTTTTTATTTGCCTAATTTATACAAAAAAATAGTGTGTTTACTTTAAAATAATATCTAGGTATAGTCTTATACACCGGTATACCGGCAACAGTGTAATTAATATTTGACTGGTTTATGGCTTATCATTACATTTAAACATTTTTTTTTTACTCACACCTATCTAATGCTTGATTTCTATGTCTATATTCGGTTTGTTTGTGCATACGTCCTATTTTATGGCTAACCTTTCGCCGGCCCGTTTCACATTCGTAGATTTTCCCCGACGCGGTGTGTATTAAAATTACGACGACGTCGACGCGCAGAGTCGAAAATATTCTCCTTCGCCCTCTATTCAAATATAGTCCGATCGCATGTCTCCCATGGGATTAGTATATAATATATATATATGGTATTATGTGCAGTGATAACGAAGAAGCGCAAGTCCAAATACACGGCTGACATATACACACATATATAATAATATTATATTGTTGCGGTATATATGTATATACATGGCGTGTTCCGGAGTCTTAATGAAGGCGCTTTAATTGCTGATTTTTATCGGCGGGACAATCGCATAAACGGGTGAACGCCAACCCTTTCGCGTTTAATAAAACGCGTCGCGGGTCGAAGGGAACGAAGAAGGGACGGGTATGGATATAAAAATAAAAACAAACAAAATAAAGTCAACCCTTTTACCCGTACAACAACTATACACTACGACTGTATCGGTCGCGATGGTCTCCGGCAGTAGCAAATACGTATATAGGGTAACCTACACACAAACGCACAGACACACGCTGCAGCGACGTTATTGCACCGCTGTGTAATATATACGTATAGCGGCACCACATAACGCAGGCATTTCCAGGCCATTTAACACGCGCGATATTCTAATTTTCACACGACACCGCCGCCGATGCGGTTACGTTTGTGCGGTAACAACGGTTAAAAACCGATGAGCAGCTGACAAAAGGCACCGCCGCGGCACTTTCGGCTCAACGATTCCCTCCCCCCCCCCTATCGTCGTATTTACCATGTAATACGCGTGTAGAGTATACTGTATTATATATAGGTACGCGACTCACCTAATCATATAATTTTAACATTGTCTACGACCGATAAGACACAGCTGTTGTACAACAGATAATATACTCTGGTAACTATATACGTCTATATATAATATGCACGCAGTAGCGTTTTAGTTTGGTTAGGGTTTTATCTATTGGATTCAGACCCGTACGGGGAGAGGGGTTCATCCACATTCACATTATATTCTTTACCAAACAGTTTTCATACACTTGGTGAAAATAGATTATAAAGTCAAGCCGGATTTTCGGCTACACGTCGTGTGTCGTGTCGTGTCGTGATCAAATCGCATTGTGAAGTTATATTACTTTTTTGGTATCGTTTAACAATCGAATTGCAACAGAGTAGGTATATGCACCAAGAATTGATTACTGCTCAATTTTTAAACCAATACGATTACCTGCAGTTATAAC